TATATATACCATACCTTCAATAATGTAAACTTTACAATATTTATTGATCTATAGGAAAATACAGTTACAGATTTATTTGTTGAAAAAGCTAACTTAAATACGATAACAAAATGTACACATAGGATAAATTTGGAAGTAGCTGTATACACAAATTGAATAAGCTACAGAAGTTGCGGCATTTTTTGTATAGGAAATATTTCTTGTTTAAATATAGTCAGAAGAGGGCGGGGAAAAAAAATTGTTTCTTATTTAGCAAATGGTTTTGCCAAAATATCCAGACAGAGGAGAAAATAAAAATAAAATTTTATTGTTGAATATAAACAATGTAGTAATGGGATGGTTAAATGCTTTAAATTTATATAATTAGGAATATACATATCTTATTTTTATTTATTTTTTTTATTTTTGAAAATTTCAATTCAATTCAATAAAGAACTTTTTTTTTTCGGAAATCTTTATTTTTTCAAGGCGACAGATGCACTAATTGGCCAAAAATATGATTATATTTTTATCCGAAGTCATTATTGGCGGGCAATGGGTTCGCTAAACAAAGTATAAAAAAGTCTCGTTGCCTAATGAGAAATATAATTTTATTTTGAAGATTTAACTTACTTGTTCAAAACAGGCCTGCAATAAGTTTGAAGGAAACAGGTTTCTGAAAAACAATTTTATGGTAAATTAAAAAAATAAAAACAATCGCATAACATTTTTACTAACAAATTAAATATTGTACAATAATAGTAAATAATAACAAGAGCAGTAGTGCTCAAGGAACTAAAGAAGGAAAATCTCCAAAATTACGGTTAACCTAAAAGCAACCAGATGAGAAACACCACACACATCACCGCACCCTTACAAGCAATCACACAAGGTGTTGCTGGAGATTTTTTGTTTAGAAATGTTTGAACAGACACAGGTACATGGAATTTAAATAAAAATTAGCTTGTTTTGGAGTACTGTGCAATTAGTCCTGCAAAATTGGTGGTAAAAAAAAAAAAAAAGTAATACTGATGTCATTTAAGATGTGTTCAGATTTACTGAGAGTGTAATTTAGGATCAAATTAATAATTATTTTTAATAAATAACAATTTAGTATTAAAATAAAATTTGACAACTGTGTAAGTTTGTAATAAATTTATCGATGTTTCTCCAAAGCGACATATTAAGAACATCCGCAGGGTGGTAAGTTTATCTTGATTAGAGAACATTATCATCTATTAAATTTTACTAAACAGGAGTTATGAAGTGATGAACATAGAAGAGCCATGCATTTATTAAATAATAAATGTAGGCCAAGCACAGCCTTCCATGGAACCGACACAGAAAATACTGTATGCTTTAGACATTACTATATGACACATTGTGACATCCAATCCAATCTGTGCTTAGACATGCCTTGATGCATTTTTCAATACGCATAAAAAACAGCCTCCCAGATCAACTTTCTTAAAAACACGAATGAAAAACCAAGATATTTTGTTATCTGGCTTTAAAGGGGAAAAAAACCTCATTTTGATATTTCTTCCAGAGCCTTAAACTAAATCTAAACTAACCAGGGATCCTTTTCCATTAATGGGGTTTATTTATTAATTAATTTTGTTGAAGAGGTTGGAGAATTAAAGGATGTGTACCGTATGTCTCTGCTTAGCTTGACTGTGATGTCTCTGTTTTGTATGATTTGTCATTTTGGTTTGTTTTCGTCCTGCAATTTTTTTTACTGTTAGGCTGGCTAATATTTTTGTATGAGCTCATCTTAGATTTCTTCATCTCACCATATTTTACATTTTGGTAATCTATTATTTATAAGAAAATCTAAACTAAAGCTATTTGATTTAGCTAGTTTAGTACAATACTACTAATTCAACAAGTGACTAATAAATGAACAACAAATTAAGACACCACTGCCCATTCAGCGGCAAGTTGATGTACAATATGTGAACAGAATTACTCACCTTAATAGATCCAATATTGCATCCAAGGTAGTGACATCTGAGGAGACGCCTTTTCCACCAAGTTCCTCTTTTGCTGATGTAGATTTACCGGGTCGAATCGTTAACACTAGTATGATACCGATCAGAACAGCTATCATCGTTGTACAGAAGTAGTAAAGTAACGTACGGAAACCGAGTTTGCCACTAGACTTGGCATCAAGTCCCGTCAATCCTGAAGAACACAAGATAAGGCGATTTATCAACTTTATCAATTCTACACAATTATGCCAATACGATATAGGATGGAGCCTTTACCTACATTCCTTACAAAACACAATTTTACTTTAGGAATGAAAGGTGCTAAAGTTAAAGCTCAAGTTTTATTTCAAAATATCATCATTGTAGCTTTGCAGCTAAATTACGAATGATACATTACGAAAAAAATAGACATGGGCCTATACATTGCACAAAAATTACAGAACAACAATACATATAAATTCAAAAAATAAATAAAAACATAATTAAATAAGCAATTATAGAAAGTAAAATGTATATTTGATATCACAACTACAATACAATTTGGATTGCTTAGTCAATAAAATAAATATTTAAAAAAACATATATTGTGAAGAATGGGTAAATAAATAGTCTAAGAGTGGGCCTGGAATTTCGAACAATGTCCTGGGATATAATACACCTAAAAACTAGAAAACTGAGCAATTTTGAGTCAATTTATGTGCTATGTTTTAGAATGTATTATGCCCAGTTACTTTTTAAAGTAGAAACCCCTGCCTGACAATTTGTGGCTGATAATTGGGGCTTGTATTTTGTAATGGAGTGGTTTAAGCCCCATGCCAACAAGCCGGTACCGCCATTGGTTTCCATGTTATTTTATGGATTGTTAACAAAGATCTTAAATTGAAAGATAGTGTTCCACACGATTTCTGCGTGCAAATTCTGTAACAACACAATGTAGGCGCCCTCACACAAATATGATCACTTTTTGACTAAAGATATCTGCCTGCAAATTCTGTAACACCCAGGGTAACAGCTAGGACGCCCTCTCTCAAAAATGATACTTTTTATGCTTCTTTTTACTGAACATCAACACTTCTATTTGCTAGCGTAAAATCACGGAGAGCGCTATCTTGTTATTATAAGACCTTTGATTGCAATAATATTGAAGATTTTAGGTGTTCCTTACTTTAGTGTTAGCACTTTTTTGAATTGATATTGCACTATACAATTCTTATTTTCTCTATTATTATTATAGCCACACATTTTATATGCTATTGGAAATGTAATAAATAAAAAATAAAATTTCATGTGAATACAAAGTTGTATATAGTACTAGTTGCAATATGAAGACACTTTGTCATAAATATAAAAAAAGAGTGGGAAAAATGAAAGAAATCACCAAATTGTCTCAGTTACTTGGTTAATATAACTCATTAATATTTCAACTTGTTGCACATACAGTACAGTGGAGTACCTAGGAGTCTTAAAATGTTGAGGTGAAGTAGGGACTTGATGATTAAGCGAGGGGTCCTAGCTTCAAAAATAAGCTGATATCAGATGATTTTTAACAACTTGAGCATTATTTTTTTGTTGTTGAACATTTTCAATGGGGGTCACCACTGGCCCCCCTGCATCCATTTTCGTCACTACTGCCATTTCCTATATAAACAGGATTTCTGATGGATTATATCTTTATTCTTCACTGTTATTGACCATAGCTTTTTAAGCCTCCTTGAAATTCAATTGATAATAGGAATTTGCACATGTTTACTACAGATGTTAAGTCAACAGCCCTTTGGCATCTTATTCTTATCTAATCAATGTGAGTAAAGACCCTAAAGAAACTGATCAGTCGTGCTTAAGTCAAAGTGATATGAGATTTATCAAACCACTATTACCTGTATCATAGCAAACCTGCTAAATTACATGGTTGGTAAAAATTACAAAATTACAAATGAATGCATCAAAAAGGCCTATACTATAACATCCGTTTACTGTTCCTGTTTACAGCTATACATGCATAGTAGAGTATAGGCTCAATGACCTTTCTACTGAAAAATTACAGTTCCTTAGCATATTTATCATATCTTATTATATCATGGAAGTACAGTGCACCATCCAATTCAAGACCCCTTCAGTTTGAGACCACTTTTTCAAAGGACCAAGTAACAATCTTCAATCTATTAATACTAAGCTAACCCTCTATTGGAGGCCGAGCTACTCCAAATTTTCAGATCCTAGGTGGCATATCCATTAAACAACAGGGGAATGATTAGACCAGGACACCGGGGTAACCCCCTACTCTTCTCGAAGGATGTACTGGGTTCTTTAAAGTGCACACAGGACATATGCGTACACTGGGCACTACGGTTTAAAGTCCTTGTCCGAGAAGACTTGTTCCACCACCGGAACCATTGGCGAGTGAGCCAATCGAACCAGCGCTGATATTATAGCTGAAGGTTACGGCGCCCCTGACTTAACTGCTCGGCCAATCAACTCGCCCAACTCGTTTTCTATCATGGAGTTATCATCCAGTTGGATAGTTGGTCTATTGAAGTTAATAATCCAGAAATAAGATTTCTTTACTTTTAAAAATCTGACTGGAAGTCTGCACTGGATATGAGTTGAGAAGTACTAACATTTTTAAGAAAACAGTTTATCTTTTACTAAACTTTTAAACTGCAATTTCATTTACTTTTCATGGAAGAATGTCCATCATTTACTATACAAACATTACTTACATAGACAGTACTTTGCCAAGCTAGGCCTAGATATTCACCGAATGACTCTTGTTAACACTCATGGCATTTCCAAAAGTGCTACAATATACACTAACAACGTCCATGTCTAAGAGCAAGACAATTCAACAAAAGCAGCTCATCGTCTCTACGCGTTGCGTACTCCTACACACTTGACTGATTTCAATTAACATCTTGACGAGATTTGATTGACAGATAAACCGACTAATTCAATGTCAATGCCAGAGTAAAGATCAAAGGACTGTATGCCCACCAGTGTAAGAAAAGGTAATAGTCCATCTTTTCAAATTTTAGCACCCGAACAATTTTATTTTTGCATGTATTAATCTAAATGTATTAATCTAAAATTTATTTGCTAAGGTATTTTCTGGTATTGGCCACCCCTTAACCTTTAGCGAATTTTGTTGGGAAAAAGTGTATACATTATTAATAACATTAACTTTTTAATATAAATTACCTGTGATCAGACTTGAAACAATCAGTGGAAGAATCAACATCTTCAGGAGTCTGAGAAACACGTCTCCAGGGAAACCAATTAATAAGACTGCCTCCTCACTGGGATTGGCCAATCGTAATACTAACCCAAAGAAGACTCCAAGTATTACGCCTGCTATAGTAAACACCAAAAGAAGGTTTTCACGAAACCACGCCAACACACGACGCCACCTTACGTTTTCAATTGGGGTTTGCGCTTGTGCCTCGTCCTCCATAATGCGTCGATGTAATTATGATGAAATCTGTGAATTAGCAAATAGAAATTATTAGGATTAGAATTCAGAAGAAAATAGTTAGAGCCCAATCATACTTATTATATAGGCCCAGGGCTGCCTTAACTATGGCCAACTCATGACGACCGCTCCCTTCACAGTTTATTATTTTATGTCAGCTGAGGGTCGCACTGCAAACGTTCACACTTTCTCCTTTGCGTCTGATGTTTGTATGAAATATTTTGGTATAAGATGTCAAAATTGACCGCTATCCTAGCGACCCAAGTTCGGTTTATGTTCAGATATCAAGATGAGTCGGCCCAGGTCCCGCAATGAGCCGACTTTAAAGTTGGACTAAATTTAGGTTGGCTTTAAGCAGGCTTAAATTTTTTTGATTGTTCAAATAAAAAAAAAGTGGACTGAGGCGGTGCTGCCTCGACGTAACTATTAAGTGTGATTGGGCTCTTATACAACTTGAGATATAAGAAACCAATTCCTGAATCATATTTCAAAATTATTCTACACCACAGAAGAAAGCAACTTATATCCCTAACTTGGATATATCTATTCTCAACATTAGTATGTTTCAATTGTAGAGGCTACATAATTCATAATTCATTTACCATGAGATGATAGCCAACAAAGGGAAGTCCTCCCTGTACATGTGCAAAACGCAAGGCAAAAACACTGATAATAATATCAAAAACAATCCTGTAATACATTCCGGTTAACAAGTTTTTTCAATGCATACTGTGGCTTTTCCAGTACAGCCTGTGATTACGATAATAATAGCCAAAATCAAAACTTGGCGAAGTAGTGATAATGGGTTCTTGAAAGTGCACACGAGCCAGATGTATACACGATACATTTAGATGAATGAATACAGGATTAGATGAATACATTATTCGGAAACTGTCAATATGGAAAAAAAACTTTAATGAACGTGAGCCATTCATTGCTTTGTAAGTATGTATAGTAAGCACCATATGTGGGGGATCAAGCGGAAAGAGGCGCAAGTTAAAAACTTTGAAAATGACAAGCTTATAAACATGGGCAACTACTGTATTCCTGTAATTTAGCAAAAAAAGCATTTAAATTTTGGGTTAAAAGTAAATGAATTAAAAATTTGTGTATTATGGTGTATTTTTACTATTTACTCAATATAACGTGGGTGACTAATACATCTTTTGACTAAGACTTAGCATACTGAAGCTGGCTGGATGATTTAAATTTAAGTTATGGTTTGTTTGTCTTACATAAATACACTGATTTTTACATGAACTTCAAATTATACTTTAAAGTCTTTTTATAGCTTCTTCATACTGTATTCAATAGTCAGACAATCTTTTAGTGGTTCTAAAATGGAACTGTATGTCAAAAAAAAAAAACCTTTTTTAATAAAACATCAAGTTTTAAACAAATACTCATTTTATATAACTATGAACTTCTATAAAATCTTTATAAATTGCTCTTACATAATCATTATTCTCACCTATTTACATCTAATTACCTTTTTCATTTTGAATGTAATGTTATAATGAGCAAGTATAAGACATGTGCTACTTAAATTCCTAGTTTTACAAATGTGACAGAGTATATCTGCATACCAGTAGATAAATTTACAATGTCATAGCAATAGTGAAGGCATTTTGTTGGTTAAGTACATTTGATGTGATTAAGCGTTGCCTCCAGCATTCTGACATCACTGGCAGCCGATATGTTAAATAAACTTGGCATACATTCATCTTCAGGGATTATTCACTTAACTTGTGTTATTATTAATTCATCAAAAGAGGAATCAAGCTAGAGACTTAAAAAAGAAATTCTGCTTGATTTGTCAGCAAATACTTGACTCAATAATAGGATCAAGAGAACAATACAATAGATTTTAATGTTGGTAAATCTATTATTTATTATCAATAAAAACACCAACACTTAACATTGGAATATGACAAAATATGACTGAATTTAAATGTTTTTCTTGCAAATACAGTCTTGATTTTCTTTTCAATTTTCCATATCTTGTTTAGGTATGAAAACTACAATATATACATACGGAATATTCTCAAAATTGAAAAACTTTTTTCCAATTTTAAGCGAGCTGAGTGGACAGCACGAGGAATTAAGCTGTTTTGGGGTTCCGTGACTTGAAAAAACACAACAAAACATAGTCATTGTCTAGGCCTAGACGGGTTGATGTTTATTTTATATTGCAAGAAGGCCAATCTAGGCTACCTAGACCTAATTCTCTGTGGTGTTTTATTTCTTTACCAATACACAATTTTTACTGGTAAAATTGATGGCTAAAATGGCATTAGAAGCACTCTGATATTATACTTTTAGTTAAGTTTTATATACACTAAAAATGGAAAATTGGTTGAACACATAATACAAATTCAATCTGCAACCAAAACACAAATGAAACGCAACTAACATTGTTTTCATACCAAGATGTTCCAATTCTTGATTACAACAAGGGCAGTTTAAAGATTCAACCAATCAAAAAGGCCCTCTTGCTGTTCCCCAATTAACAACATTTCAACTTCATCAGTAACACAGCTAACACATTCTAACCTCATTGACTGTTAACTTTAGGTTAATTTCTCCATCAACCCAAGATGAGAACCATATCATATTAGTGCTGTTGTCTTAGCAACAGCTCAGGCTTTAATCAGCGGGATTTTGAGAGTAAAAAGCACTTCAAGATCTAATGCCGTCAAGTAATACATACTCCAACAAAATTGGATCCTATAATAGCAAGTTGATAACATCTCATAAAAAGCACTTAATGAAACTATATCTATTAAGATGGTATCAATACATATCATAATATGGATTGTATCTTCTAAGCTATCGTATGTCTATTAAATTCCAGGACTGAAACTGTCTTACAACAAATACTGTAGCTCTAATTCTATAACACATATTTTGTAAATATGGTTCACTCTGCAACAGCTTTCCTAAAATGTGACTTTTGAATTTCATTTTTGTTGCAACATGCTACAAAAAACCACCTTGCTATTTCTGCCACATTACAACAGTTTTTTGTTGAATATGTTACTGATGTCATTATTCGCATTTATGGAGCTTTGTTTCTCCTACACTGTCAACATTCAATTGTGTGTTAACTGGTTGCGCATTTGAATAGTCGGTCACGCGCAATGATGCACATCTCACTACACATTTCAATATAAGTACGAAAAGTGGTATGATATATTGAAGGTAAAATTAACCTTCATCTTGGTCTAATTAACACAATGCAAACACATAGCACACGCCAAAATGTAATTTTTCATAATTTGTCCCTCAAATAAACAACACTTTCCTCATGGAGTTTATGGAAAATGATCGATTCAGAAGTAAAACCTTTTTAAAATCACACTTGATGTGTTAGAAGCACAGAAGATTCATATAGAAATATGCCTCTCATGAATACAGTAACATAACATTTGTTTACAATAGATGATAGTAGTTATACCACGCATACTATGTTTTATCAGTATGGCTGAATTTTGTTGTAAAGATATGAGATGCCAATTTAAAATTTATTATATTAGTTTAAATTATTTATTATTCATTATTTAATATACAATAAAGTTATAATTTATATATATATATATGGTTTTAAATTTTTTCATCAATTATAAATAATCATTATTCATGAATTTATAAATTATGAAAAATCATTTTATATATAAAATTGTAAAATATTTATACAAAAACCACTATAATCAATAATACCAGTATATATGACTCATTGTTCAACATATATTTTCAAAACTTGATATATTTTATTGTCCATACATAAGGCATGTTATGGAAATTGACATATACATTATTTATTCTTCTAATATGCATACTGTATGCCAGGTAAACATGGGTGTAGGCACACACTGGAACAGCAAGGGTAAATACAGTTATGTGAAAAGCAAATTGATGAATCATATGAAACTTGACACGTAATAATTTGCTGATGCAGTGTTCCCAGGAGGGGTAATTAAGCAAGATTACAATTTAACTTTACCCTGAAATTCTTGGTACTTCACTTACTATAACAAATCTTGATAAAACAAGACGTTATTTAAGTTTATAAATGACTGGCATGAACTGAATGTTACAAAAAAGTTAGATTAATATTGGGAGTTTTGAAGGCTGTGTTATGTCAAAGCTTATTATTGGATAGCTATAAAAACATACTCTTTTGGGGCCAATGAAATGTTTATAAGGCAAACACAGTTTTTGAGTCATAAACATCAATCTCCATTGCTAAGTACAAAACCTTCCCTGCACTGAAGGTATGATGCAGCTGATTTGCAACATATCATTCTGGAATGACTGTACCAACAAAAATGTGTTACAAATTTGCATTTTTTTTTCTGAAGGATAAATTAATTTCAGACTATCTGTGCTGATTAAATGTTACTAAATTGAAACCATGCAGTACCTTCAAGGGGCACGAAGCTGCTGTAAAACATTTCAGCAGTTCCATAAACAACTCCCATAGTAAGGAGTGCATAGGTGTCTGGGCCTAGAGAAAATGGCAATGTTAGATGTCTTGAGAAATTTTATAATGCCAAAATGTTTTCTTTGTTTAATGGTCATACAAGTTGTGGCCGATGAGTGCTTGGCCTGTCCAACGGAGGCTTAAGCCATTTCCACTAGCACCCCACCCCCACTGCTTCCGCCACCAGAAGTACATTTTATGAATTGTGCTTATTTTTATATCTCATTTGTGAATCAACTTTCATACTTACAATACAATAATGAGACGTAAAGAACAATATTCATGAAAAAGAAACAAAGATGATCTTTGAAAAAATGGTGCAACAAATGTACTGACAGTTTCATACTACAAATTTAATTTAACAATAATTGCACAAGACTTCTTGTTTGCTAATTAAACAAACTGTCATGTCTGGGATATCACTGTTGGTGTCTATGCTAACAAGACTGAGTACAATATCTCTAGGAAGCCAATATATTTGCCTCAGTGTAGCTTGGGGAAGAAGTGGACACAGCAAAGGCATGAG